AAGTTGTTTTTGTTTTTTTCATGGATCTCCACCCTTATAGTTCCCACCGGAAATGACATCATTCCTGAGATCTTGTCTCTTTGAAAAGACTGTGTTCTCATGGAAATTAAACCATACCATACCACACCGTACCATACTTGACGTAATTTAGACTCAGATTTTAAGTATGTATTTCGTTTTCCGTGTCTTTAGAAGATCTTAAGGGTATTGAAAAAATTCTCTTTCAACGACTAAAAAGAAAGTATATTCTTTAACTTCCTGCATCCTGTACAGACAAGAGCATGTACTTCTTCTTACCTTGCCATCTGAATCAGTTGTAGTTTCTGTTTGGCTGTTTTGTTTTTCCTAAAGCTAAATGGCCGTAATTGTGCCCACAAGATACCTTTTACTCAAGCAAACAAGCAAGTAAACAAACAAAGGAACAAACAAACAAACAAACAAACAAAATGTGACTTTTTTCGTCAATCTCCGAGGGGCTCTCTCCTCCGCCCCACGCAAACTGACAGGTAGAATCTCTTGTGGTGACCAGTACCATTTTTATTCTGGTGGCCCAGCACAACAGACAGACAAGTAAGCATACAAACAAAAGAACAAACGAAGAAACAAACAAATAAACAAACAACAAACAGACAAAACTTCAACCTCCCATCGGCCCTCGTCTCCACCCCGCACTATCTCTTGTCGTGACTAGAAATACTTCATCCTGCAGACTAAGGAACAACAAACAAACGAACAAACAAACAAACACTCAAACAAACAAATAAACAAATAAAAGTACCAAATTTGCCACTTTTCTTCAATCTCTCCCACCGGCCCTCCTTTCAGCCCCCCTCAAACGGACCGGAACTATCTATTGTGGTGATCAGTATGACATCTTTCTGTAAACTCTGTACAAACAAACAAACAAACAAACAAACAAACACATACACAAATAAATAAACAAACAAACAAATAACATTTGACTCTTTTCTTCAATCTCCCAGCGGCCCTCGCTTCAGCCCCACATAAACTGACCGGCAGTATCTCTTGTGGTGACCAGTGCTATTTATTTCTGGTGACTCAGGAAAACAGACAAACAAACAAACGAACATACAAACAAATAACATATGACGTTTTTCTTCAATCTCCCAGCGGCTCTTGCTTCAGCCCCTCACAAACTGACCGGAACCATCTATTGCGGTGACCAGTTCCATTTCTTTCTGGAGACTCAGTGCTCACTGTGCCAGCCCTCCGATACCGGGGGGATGGAGGTTCGAGCCACAACCCAATGGACGGATGCTGTGCAGGAGGCGGTGGCTCAGATCCTGGGGCTGCCTGGCGCAAGGTGCAGAACAGACTTCTTTCTTTCTTTCTTTTTCCCACCTTTTTTCTTTCTTTCCTTCTTTCTTTCTTTCTTAATTGCTTTCTGTTTGTCCTTCTTCCTGTCTTGCTTTTTTTACGTTCTTTCTTTCTTACTTTCTATATTTCCTTCTCTTTATTGTTTTTCTTTCGTTCCTTCTCCCTTTCTTTCTTGTTGTTGTTGTTGTTGTTGTTGTTGTTGTTGTTGTTGTAGTTGTTGTTGTTGTTGTTTTGGGTGGGGGGTTAATAAATTCTTTCTTTTTTTTCTTCATTTTTTTTTGCTTTCTGTATATCGGCTTGCCTTACTTTCCTTCTTTTTTTTCTTCTTCGTATGTTACGCTCTTTCAATCCCTATAATCTGCGGTACTTACATTCCCTATTTACTGTGTAGAACTCCTTCTAAAACTGAAACTTAAAAAAAAACTCTCTGAATAATCTCAGTCACTCTCTCTTTTCTACCTTCAGCGTGACTGTTGAGAACAAGCGCCTGGGCGGAGGTTTTGGCGGGAAAATCATCTACAATAACCCTGTGTCCGGCATGTGTGCCCTGGCCGCTCATCTCACCAGACGGTCAGTTCTCACGGATGGGTGGATGGATGGACGGACGGGCAGACAGACGGACAGAGAGACAGACAGACAGACAGATAGATAGATAGATAGATAGATAGATAGATAGATAGATAGATAGGTAGATAGAGAGATAGAGAGATAGATATTCCCATGGATGTCACGTGTACATGAACTTTTTTCGTAAGCTCGGGGTTTAATTGCATCCCTGTGGAACACCTCCAACATAATTCAACGTCTCACGCCTTTTTCGTCCCCAGACCTATGAAGATGAGACTTGACCTGCACACCAACATGAAGATGCAAGGAAAAAGGACTGCCTACTTCGCCAAATACGAGGCAATCCTTAATATACCTGCTCTCTTTCTCTGTCCGTCTGTCT